TGGGACGTATATTACAATATTGTATATGTTTGCGGTTAACAATAAACAAACACAAAGTAGTGATAGTTTTAGGTTTGGGACGTATATTACAATATTGTATATGTTTGTGGTTAACAATAAACAAACACAAAGTAGTGATAGTTTTAGGTTTGGGACGTATATTACAATATTCCTTTTGTTAGCCTTTTACTGCTCCTTGAGTTTATTACGCAAACTATTCGATAAGACCAATTTTATTTGTAAGATTAGCTTTAAATCTCGAGATTTTGTTAGGTGAAGTGTAATGATTCTAATATCAAAATGGTAGTGTTATTTTCAGGTTTTGTTTTTAACAAAAACGCTGTAGCATTAATTACAGGAGACTAATTTAAGGAACATTGGTTGGGATTGTACACAGTCAAATAGCGAGGGAGAGAGATTTCTTGAAGTAACACAGGATAGGTTTTGGTCAGAGAGACAAACAGGGGAGGGGAGGCCATTTAACATGTATTGCTAACTTCTACTACTGATATGGTTGCAAGAGTCTCAGTAAGGGAGTAAAGTTAAAGGTTAAAATAATTTTAAAATGTGGATTGGACCATTAAAAGGTGTAGATGACAAGTATTTTGTTCAGAATTATAAGTTGTTTTCACCTCCTTTGTTTTTAAAATAATAATAACAACATTCCTGACTCTAATCATTCTACGGGAATATTGGAATTGACCTGAATCGTGAAGAATTTAATTGGTTAATTAATATATTTTGCTAATAACATTAATTAAGCTCTTAGGTATTTCCACCTATACTGAGGAACTTGAGATATTACAGGATGACTTGAGTCAATTAGTCGGTTTAACAAATATTTCGTAAATGACCTTTAATTATAGTAACTGCAAGGTAATGCTTTTCGATTATCATAATTTGGATCGTACGTTTAATATTGATGAGAATCAACTCAATGGTGTGACTAAATAAAAGGATTTGGGTTTATTGTTGGATGAATGATTCAAGTGATCGAAGTAGTGCCCTGATGCTAATATAATTTTAAGATGTATCAGCAGACGTATTGATTATAAATCATAATAGGTAATTATCTCTCTATACAAATCATGTACAGTTTTGATTTGCTTATCTAAAAAAGGAATATTACTTATTGGAAAGGGTTTAGGGAAAGGCATACTAGGATGATTCCAGGGATATGAGAGTTATATTACAGGGGTAGGTTAAGAACTCTAATTTTCGTTTGATAAAAGAATGGTAAAATGTGATCTTGTGGAAATTTACAACATTTTCAGGTGGATCGATGGGGTAAAGGCCTCAGATTTCGTTTTACTTGAAGATAATATAACGAGAAAACACAAGTTTTGTATTTGGGAAAAACAACAACAAGAAGATAAACTCTAGTTAACATAGTTTTATTTTTCCAGATAGGGTAATTGACTTATTGAATGAGTTGACGTCAGAAGTAATGGAATTTAACAGGAATTTAAAAGAGGTTAGCAAGGTTGGTTTTGAAGGACAAAATAGTCTCTTGTTGTCGATAGGTTATGTTATGTAATGTAAGGTCAAGTAAACCTAAATATGCCTGGAATGCCAGATAAAACAAATTCTACATTAAACTGTCTTCCTCCTGTGAAGAGAGTAAAGGTGTTATGGATACTATTACTTATTATTAATTTACCTAGTTGAGATATTGAGTACTGATTTAATATGTTTCTAGATATTTAATATACTGTAAATATATGTGTCTAACAACTTAGCCTGTGCCATAAGGAATCTAAAAATATAGCTCAAACACTATTTTGATAAGTATGTAAACAAAATATTCCAAAGATGTTTGATTGTTGTTAATAATCAGATATTTATTTATAATGAATCTTATAAAAGCTTACAAAATTAACCACAATCTATTTAATTCGAGATACGACGTTTTCGGAGACAATTGTTACTCATTAGTAAATTTATAAAACAAAATATAATATCTGAATAACGCATTGGTGTCAAAACGAATTAAAAATGATATTTTAGAATTTCAGAATAGAGCTATCTTATCTTTGGTGGATTGAATTTTCTATGAGCGTTTGGTTTTCAAGAAAACAAAGGAAGATTATAAGACAGTAGCATAGCCTGATGGAAGGTTTCACCTGTGGTGAAGTTTCTTTGGTCGTTTCGAAGGTCATTGAATCCATTTTTTTTCAAATTTCTGTAGAACTGGTCCAGATATTAGTAAATTATAGCTCTTGGTCTAGGATAATTCTTGGTTTTTATCTTTATTCTGAATATCTTAATTTTTTATAAGTTTCCAATTTGTGCAATATGTAAATTCTTGTACCTCGCCTATTCAGATAATTTTTCTGTGTTATAAGATTGCTTAGATGACGAATGTTCATGTGTGTAGAATCCATGTTATATCGGCATGCTTTTTTAGTATCTGACTGATTCCTCTTTCTTTTTTTCCAATGTAGATTTTATTACAACTGCAGGTTTAAGATTGCTAAGTCATTTTGAACTTATTGGGATAATTCTAAGATTTGTGAAAAACAGATTTTAAATTTTTCACAAATTCCCTTGAGTATATAGCTTTTCTTTTGGTAAAAATGTCAGGGAGATGGTGTTGAAAGTTATTTTTTTTTTCTGAGTAAGTATGAGACAGGGTTTTTAGGTACTGTAAAATGAAATACGTAGGTAACCATAAGCTTCAAAACTTGTTATTGAGTCGGATTTCTTATTTCGTTTTTGAACATCGCATGTTTCACTACTCTCGGTTGGAAATTTTTAATAATTGAATATATATTAATGGTTGATATGTAATGTTGGTAGTAAACGGCATGTATTAGTTCTCCTATAAAGTTTTGTGGAAATATGATGTGTGTGGCGATGTATCAAAACATCGAGAACTGACAGTTTGTCTCAATCTGGCTAGTAAAATTAATACTTTTGTGTTGTCAGGTAATAAAGGCATTACACATTTCATTTCCAGGATTTGACTTTAGCCTTTGCTAATGCTATATCCTTCAATTCAAATTCATTCGTAGGTAGTTAGTTGAAAATCGGTTAAATGGATACGCTGATGACTAGGTTCCTAGCATGTTCATAAAAATAAACCATTAAGTTCAAAATTGGTGGTACTAAGGCATTGGATGATAAGTTCAATAATGAAATGAGCACTAAGATTTGTTCGAAAATTTAGGCTAGGATTTGTTTCCAATTTTTGTGAGATATTCAAGAATGAAAGTTTTTGAAAGATTTCGATATCATGGAACTAACAAGAATATTTTTTTGTTCGTTTATTTGTTTGTTTTGAATTTCGTGCAAAGCTACATGAGGGCTATCTGCGCTAGCGGTCCCTAATTTAGCAGTGTAAGACTAGAGGGAAGGCAGCTAGTCATCACCACCCACCGCCAACTCTTGGGCTACTCTTTTACCAACGAATAATGGGATTGACCTCCACATTACGGCGGAAAGGGCGAGCATGTTTGGAGGGACGGCAGATTCGAATCCGAGACCAGCAGATTGCGAGTCGAGCGCCCTAATCACCTGGCCATGCCGGACACTTTTTGGTTCGATAGCAACAAGTTTAGTTACGTTTCTTAGCTGGTAATATGATGTTTCTGGGGTCTTCTTACAAGGTTTTGATTATTTGCTAGTTCTCTGTTTTTGTGACTGGTGTTTGATTGTTGAGATACGTATTGTCGTAACATCATGCAGGCAAGGTATCTTAATTTTTCAGCTTCCTTTAGTAGTAGTAGTAGTTCCTTTGTGTAGTAATTTCTATGGAAGTATTGCATTTCACTGTGGGTGTTTGATTAGTGTTTGTGACAAAGGCATATGCTGAAAAACGAAGACACGTTCCTCAATTTCCTTCTTGTAACTAAACTGTCCAATTATGAAGATCGTCGTAACTATCGTTAAAATAATGATCTTGAGGAACATCTATTACGGAATAAATGGTGGATGGTGAGAGAGTTGGCTCTTTAGAATACCTATAATGGTTTGTAGATTTCTTTTCTTCCTTCTGTAGATTTCAGTTATGAAAGTTAAATGCTTGTTGGCAGTGTCTTGAAGAAGTAATTGGATGAAACTCCAATTTTAGAACATCTGGCGTAATTTTTATATATTAGAATTTTAATAGAAAGTTATATGATTCATAAATATAGAAACTACTGCATTGGTTAACAGTTTGGAGTAAAGCTGGTCCATAACTGCTCTTACAACTTTCCTTTAAACTGGATTTATAAAGTGAGTTCCACACTTAAACTGAGTTTGAATGGAATTTTCTTGATTTTGGGAAGAATGTCGAGTTTCATACTGAATCTCTCATTTCGAAAGAAAAACATATTATAAGACAGAATCATTACCTGAGGGAGGGCTTCATCTGTGATGAACTCTGATTAGCCATTGTTAAGGTCGTTGAATCCTGTTATTTTTAAATAAAGTTGATTCTAGATATTGGTAGTTTCTTGGCGTCGGTCTCGGTTGATTTTTCTATATTCAGAGGGCTTGTTTCATTTTTTAAATTTCAATTGTTGTGCAGAACCAAAAAGTGTGTGTTTTGTTCCATTCACGAGTGTTCTGTTTTACAAGTTTTTAGCTCTGGCGGATTTTCCATGGAGTTTAAGACATGTTACATTAGCATGTTTTTGTCTCCAAATGCTTGTTTTTCCTGTGTCTCTGTTTTTCAAATGTAGGTTATCGTTTAATCGTTTTGTGTAATTTAATATTCGAACATGCTCCATAATAATATCTGAAAAAAAGAACATTTTATTTTGTATTTAACGCATTGATTTCGAAATGCAAGTAATTTTAGCAAAAGAATATACTGAAATGAGTTGGTAAACTATTTCCAGACAAGATATTATTTGTAACTTACACGAAACTTGATAAATTACGGTTATATTTCTCACTATGATTATCTTCACAACCAAGAAAATACTATCAAATAAATCACAACAGAATAGTATTTTCGTAAATATATTTTATTTAAGAGATCTCATTAAATCTGTATTTCTGCTAAAAATGAAAACGTTAAAAATAGGATATATTGTTATTTATCTTAACTACTCATCTTGAAAGAATAATTCTAATCTGACTTTTTTCTTACAATTTAGTTTTAATCAGCTCTGTTAAATATCATACATTAAGAGTGAAGGGCAACCGTCTTTCAACTCAGAAGAGTGAGTAAAAAGAATTAGAAATATCACACATATAATTCATAGTTCAACACCATAAGAAGTCTAATATTTTTATTCTGATTTGCTATTGTCCAGCGTTACTAATGTGAAGTGGAATTCCACGAAACCGGTATAACTGAGTAATGAGCCGTAACGACGATGATAGTTTGAGTTTCGTATATATATTTTTATTTAACTTTTCACATTAAGAAGAAATAATCATTCAGCTTTGAAACTGATACAGATAATTCGAGGGATTAATAAGGCTTCTCTGATGGGTTTGATTATCGTATTTTGAAACTGATACAGATAATTCTAGGGATTAGTAAGGCTTCTCTGATGGGTTTAATTATCGTATTTTGAAACTGATACAGATAATTATAGGGATTAGTAAGGCTTCTCGGATGGGTTTAATTATCGTATTTTGAAACTGATACAGATAATTCTAGGGATTAGTAAGGCTTCTCTGATGGGTTTAATTATCGTATTTTGAAACTGCTACAGTTAGTTCTACGGATTACCAAAGCTTCTCTGATGGATTTGATTATCGTATTTTGAAACTGATACACATAGTTCTAGAGATTTGTAAGACTTTTGGTGTGTTTGATTATCGTATTTTTATACTTAGATGCTCAATACATTCAGCTAGTGCAGTAAACCTGCATACACCTCAAGGCCTGAATTAAAAATCCCCATCTAGCGGTGTTTACTGGATACGGATTACGAAGAAGTAATTATAAGAGAGAGGCCTTAGTTAATACAAATATGATATTAATTTTTGATGTTTTTTCGGCTTTTCAATATCAGAAGTAGGTGTATAAAAATCCAAGTTTAACGCAGCTGTACGAACTTTTGTTGTTAGATGGATTAAGACAATTGATAGAAGTATTTAAAGCTTCTCTTTTATTTCATGTTGATGACAGTGTGTTGTAAAAATATTTTCAGGTAAATACCTCCAACTATCGAAAGACATAGTTAATATCTGTTATGTTAAATAGTAAAAAATTGAAATACACAGAGTTGTTCGTACATATATTAGAATTGTGTTGCTACATTGTTATTACAGAATTTTATTATTATTCAATTTCCTTTAAAATAACTTAGATTATCCAAAGGTAAAAACTGCATAAAACGACAAACTATAATTTGAATGACTACATGCCTTCTCAACTTTTGTGAAAACACTTCAAATAAGTAAAACCTTTATAATTTGTACAAAAGAGTTTTTTTTCTATGTTATTAGAATAGTTAAAATAAAAGATACAATAAGCAGGGTAGCATCAAACGTCGAGGGTGCAGCAGATATTAAATCAATTCCGCAGGCCGGAGGGCAGATGACATTAGCAGTTTCTAGAAGAAAATTGGAAAAGAGTCAAAGAAAACAAACTTAAATGACAATTGTCCTCACTTTTGTTCGTCGTTCTATTAATATTACTTTTATTAGCTGAATGAAGGTAAACTCAGTGAGTAAACGTTCTCAAAATATTCAATATTTTAACAACAGGCGTTGTTGTACAATAACAAACACATCTAATTAATCATTGGATAAATTCAACTAAAGTGTATTAATGAAATAAAATACGTTTTATTGACATTATTTGAGAAAGTATGAAAATAAGAGAGGTTATAATATAGGCAAAAGCTCAAATTGATTATCGAAGCTTTTAAAACGTTACATACTAAATATAGCATTTGAACTAACAAAAATCAAAACCATAGGTTTTATTTATTATTTTTAGATGCATTGAAATATTTGGGCAAACTATTTATTTGCACTGCAACTTCGTCGTTTTCAACGTTCGTGTAAAGGGTTTTCATAGAATAGATATGTTCGTACTAGCGTTATTATACGATTTAGAAAAAACAAACATTACTGTTGGCATGTTTTACCTCTAAGCACTACAAGGATAAATGGTTATATCTTCTTTTTTACCAAGGACGTAAATATTATAGTTTCAGAAAATAATCAATGTTTTGAGCAAAACTTATTTATTAATTAATTTTAAAACTACAATAAAAATCACACAACAAGAAAATGCAAAGATCACGGTAGAAACGAACGAAAGAACGAAAGATCACGGTAGAAACGATAAAAATCAAACAACAAGAAAATGCAAAGAGCACGGTAGAAACGAACGAAAGAACATGGTTAAAACATTTGTCTTACCATACAGCTCCATTTTCTGTTGATGAGAACCTAGTTTGTTCATAGCTTTACAAATATATTCACCATATTGTCTCTTTTCAATAGATATGACCCGTAGAGTTGAATCAGTGAATTCATCAGCCGTGGAAAAGATAGAAATCCGATAATGCTGGTTGTCATTCAACTGTAGACCATCTTTAAGCCACACTATCGACGGGGATGGAAATGCCTCCACATGACACTGGAGGTCCATGTCATATTGTAGTGCTTGCCCATAACGATGCGTGTCAGTTGTAATGTAGGGAGCAACTAAGAAAACAAAATACAGTTTTTTTAAAAAACTACCTGCAATTGTTCATTTGCAAGCAAGGTGATAACTTCTCACCTGGGTTAATGGAAGCGTTACTTATTAAATGCATATAGAATCGTATATGTAGCTATGCCTTTACGATACATTTTAATATATATTACCAACACGATTAAACACCTGGATGATTCTTTCTAATTCTTGTTACGCTGATATTCTGAATATTTCTGATTTCTTATCTGATTATACACATAAAACTAACTAAAATACACTAAAGCTAGAGCAATCTCATACTTTGTTGCTTAACTTATCAATTTCAAGCACATTCTTCATCTAATATCAGAATAAACGAGATAATTCTAACTAATAATATATATAGCTCTATATCTATTAACAGTTTATATCAGAACAAACGAGATAATTCTAACTAATAATATATATAGCTCTATATCTATTAACAGTTTATATCAGAATAAACGAGATAATTCTAACAACTAACAATATATATAGCTATATATATCTATTCACAGTTTATATCAGAATAAACGAGATAATTCTAACAGCTAACAATATATATAGCTATATATATCTATTAACAGTTTATATCAGAATAAACGAGATAATTCTAACAGCTAACAATATATATAGCTATATATATCTATTAACAGTTTATATCAGAATAAACGAGATAATTCTAACTAATAATATATATAGCTCTATATCTGTTAACAGTTTATATCAGAACAAACGAGATAATTCTAACTAATAATATATATAGCTCTATACCCATTAACAGTTTATATCAGAATAAACGAGATAATTCTAACAGCTAACAATATGTATAGCTCTATACCCATTAACAGTTTATATCAGAATAAACGAGATAATTCTAACAACTAATAATATATATAGCTCTATATCCATTAACAGTTTATATCAGAATAAACGAGATAATTCTAACAACTAATAATGTATATATATATATATATATTTTTGTTGAACAAGACCGATGTC